CCTCCACCCTCTCCATCCTGCACATGCCGGTTGCGCACCGTAGTAGCCATTGCTGGATGTTACTCATAGCATCCACGTAGGTAATTGCGAAGTCATTGGTCTCTGCCGTGGAAAATGATCCTAAAGGATATACAACCCACAGAACAAAACGAAAATGGGTCGATCACGCCTAGATGTCCACCCGAGTCAACAATGAGGAAATCAAGGTACGTCATTGTTTTTGAAGCACCATTGCCCTGACAAAGATACAACCCACTCCCTCTGCTTTGCGAAAGGCAAAAAATTGCACCTGCTTGATCCGATCATTCACGCACCACCGAAGCCGTAAAGAAGCCCGAGGATACCTTATCGAGCACTATTGTAACCGCCATCGTAAGTTTCAAAGCGACAAATGATGAATATACCTATCTGCCTTATATCTCCACTAGACCCGATGGCGCATGCACCTCTGGGGTAGGAAGAAGTCATAGGAAACATTATTGAGCACCACCACCACCACCATCGCTGGAAGGGCCGGACTGATGATCAAGTGGACACCTACCTAGTGACCTAAGACAAGGTAAACTATAGGTCCCACTGGTTGATCGTGGCCTCCACGCACACCCATGGACAGTGGCTGATCTAGGGGTGGGTCGTGGGGACATGGGCCCGCAAACAATTTGCGGAACTTTATTTACTAGTGCATTCACATGTATATTCAGTACTTTATTAACTATTTGTAATGTGTTTTGACAAAAAAATGCTACCCTTTGTAATGTTGCGCCCACGTTGGTCAAGTTCTAGATCCACCACTGCCCATGGAGGGAGCTGCGGAAGAGAGGGAGGTTGTCGATCTACCAATGGAGGATGGATGGCGGCTTGGGAACCTTATACCGGGGAGGATTCAAGAGGAACGACACGATTCAGATAGGTGCAGCTCTTCACTTCTTTTCACAATTCAATATGATACTCAACAATACATAGAACTAAAACTAAACTTTTAACGATCCACATGAGGAGAGATTTCATCTCGGTCGTGTAGTTTGCGCGCACATTGGAAGAGGTGGAGGCGATAGAAAAGGTGATGAGTAATTTTGTGCACTAAGGACCGTAGTCTATGTGAATATATAAGTGGAGAGAGAGAGAGAGGGAGAGAGAGAGAGAGAGAGAGAGAGAGAGAGAGAGAGAGAGAGAGGGAGGGAGGGCAAATATATGTCCTGTTATGGAATGCCGTGTTGGAACCTATGATCATGTGTAAGAAATGATTTTACTTGTTATATATTGTTTTAAAAGAAGCCTTTTATTGGTTTTTTAGAAGTGCCAAGCTGATACAACTGCAAAAGAGTTCAACCTCTTGACCTCTACATCGAGGATGTACATAGCCAAAGTCACGGGAACAAGCATGGTATTTGATGGAGTGAAAACACTCAAGATGCATGTCTTGATACGAATGCTAGGTCACCGTCTTTGGCTTGCAAAATAGTTGGGCGCTAGATTCCACCATCAAACATACACTAGGTACAATACCTACAAAGTCAAACTGACCAACACAAAACAGTTACAGCTAAATCACTCAGCTTACTTATGATGCATGCGTCGATTGATGCAGAGGCCGAAGGCCAACCTCCTTTTCTAAAAAAAAAGACCACTCAACTTACGGCTAAGACACCCCTAACCCCCACCCCTCCCCAAAACCAATTACCAAGCATAATGGTAACGCCTCAAGAGTGGTAAGCGCCACACGACTCTAGCAAAATTCCAATAAAAGATGTTGCACGCCAATTCATTTACTAAATGAAAACTTTTGTTTCCATAGTTGCCTGATTTTGGTCCCCGGAAAAAGAAAAAAAAGATAGTTGCCTGATTTGGATCTGTATATCATATTGCATTTGGTCCCTGTACATTGATTTGACTGAAATGTAAAGTGTCTTTTTCGTCCACTACTGATTAGGCAAGCCGCTTGTTCTATATATGCCAGTATGGCATGTGATCTGCTCCTGTGCCCACATATGTTCATTTAGGAAATTCTGACGAGTAACTAAACCAGCCACGATCACAGAAGTCGACATGTCTTCCCATTCCGAAACCAGGTCCAACAGCAATGGTGAGAGGCAGCAGCAGCAGCAAGTTTGTGTGACCGGAGCAGGAGGCTTCATTGGTTCATGGGTGGTGAAGGAGCTCCTCATCCGTGGCTACCGTGTCAGGGGAACTGCCAGAGAGCCTGGTAAGTAAATGAGTAGCTTGCACATCTCTAGCATCCTTAAATTAGGTGCTAATTAAACTGCATATACGTTAGTGTTTTTTTCTTCTTCTGAATATATGCTTATATAATTCTTCAACTTTTGTCACATCTTCTGAATAGGTGCTAATTAAACTGCATATACGTTAGGTTATGACAACCGCAACCAGATTACATGTTACACTAATGCAACACTAGCTACTAGTACAATTATAGGACCCTCATCAGAGCTTGTGAGTTTGTTGAACATGGAGTACATAATACATGCTACCATGCCCAAATGGTTGCACCAAAAAATCAGCAATTCCAGCATCTCCATATACGCTATGGTCTTGTTTAAAAAAAAAACACTTTGGTGAGGGTGAGGACTACGAACGGATTCATTACACAGCCAAGTGGATAACCTGTAAAAAAATGGAAACTCTTTTTTGTTATTAAAAAAATATATAATTACAATATTTTGAAATAGCCAAACATAAAGCACTTGCTCCCATCCGATTTTGAGCTTTAAGTAGTCTATCGACCCCTCTGTCAACCAGTTCCAAAAAACATATACACTAATCAAGTTGCAATTATTCATGTTCGGAATTAAGTTTTACAAGGCTACATGGTATTAGCTAGTAATGATATGATATATAACTATATATCGGTGTAACTATCAAAAGAGTGACAACTTTTTAACATGAAAAATAGTATATGTATAAATTTTGAATATCAGGGGGACATCCACTCAAGTGTTAAAATACATTTACCCTTTTTGCCATTTGAAACCTAGCAGTATCAATCAAAATAATCAATTAGAGTAGATTTTTTTTGAAAAAAAATTTAGAATATTTTTAAGCAGCATCAATTAGAGTAGAAAAAACGTGAAAAGAATTCAGAATATGTCTAGGTCGATTCTTGAAATATACAACTTCAATTCAGTCCTTGTTCTTTGGAGTTTGCTTAGCAACTACTCGCCCCGTTCCATAATTATTGTGTGGTTTTACTTAACAACAATAATTATGAAACTGTGGGAGTATGTACCGACTAGCGACTATACGGTCCCGGTAGTAAAACGAGGTGATTGATACATGCCTGCTATGACTGTGAAGCTGATCACAAGAACGCCCACTTGCTTGCTCTCGAGGGAGCCAAGGAGAGGCTATCCCTGTGCCGCGCCGACCTCCTGGACCGCGACAACCTCATCGCCGTGTTCAGCGGATGCCACGGCGTCTTTCATATCGCCTCACCGATCTCCAATACGGACCCGGTAAGTTCACAAACATTCTTCTTTTTCGATAAGGGGAAAGCCCGGTATCTGCATCATAAAGATGCACACAACCATTGTTCACAAACATTCCGAAGCTTGAAGATATATAAGGAGTGATCCTTACTGAATTATGAGCTTTTAGGACCTCATGGTGGTTGCCGTGGAGGGAACCAAGAACGTGATCAACGCGGCGGCGGACGCGGGCGTGCAACGCGTGGTGTTCACCTCCTCCTACGGTGCGGTGCACATGGACCCCAACCGGAGCTCCGACGCCGTGCTCCAGGAGTCATGCTGGAGTGACTACGAGTTCTGCAAGCAAACAGGCGTAAAAATCACAGCTCCCCTCTTGCGATCCTGACCGAATCTCAGGCTTTAAAACCTCATTGTGTGCCATGCAGAATCTGTACTGCTGCTCGAAGATGATGGCCGAGATCACCGCGAAGGAGGAGGCGGCCAAGAGGGGGCTGGAGCTAGTGGTGGTGGTGCCGTCGGTGACGATCGGCCCGGCTCTGCAGCAGAAGCTCAACCTGGGCATCACTCACATCATCCGCTACGTGACGGGCGCCAAGAAGACCTATCCCAACGCCGTCGCCGCCTACGTCGACGTCCGTGAGGTCGCCCGCGCACACGTTCTCGTCTACGAGCGCCCCGACGCGCGCGGCCGCTACCTCTGCATCGGCGCCGTCGTTCACCGCGCCGACTTGGTGAAGCTCCTCGGTGACCTCTTCCCCGAGTACCAGATAACTGCCAAGTAAGTACGAAGACAAATGAACTTCTGGCCGTGCATGCCTCCCTACGAAAGCGATGTGTAACGAGTATTTCTATCATATGACGTGCATGGCATGGCAGATGTGAAGATGACGGCAAGCCTATGGCCAGGCCATACAGGTTCTCCAACCAGAGGCTCAGGGACCTGGGCTTGGAGTTTACTGCCCTCAGGCAGACTTTGTATGACACAGTGGTATCGCTGGAGCAGCAGGGTCACCTGCTTCTGCCTGCGGTTCCGGGGCCAGAGCGTGCACGCCTCTAAACCAACATATCTACACATGATGGGAGAGCTACAAATTATCCTTATGCATTAATACTGCAATAGCCGAATACCAATAACTTGCGCCTGTTTACGATAATATAATCCAATAAGAAGTATGGTCTTATTCTGATGGGCGTGGAGTTTAGAAATAAGTTACAAAAGCCAACGGGGTTGTGGAGCGAAGAAAAGATATCATTTCTGTAGTTTTGGTAACATTAACTAAAGAGGTCGAGACCACTAGGCATCGGAGAGGAAGCACTATGAACTGGGACAACTGCTGCCACATGTTTTATCCTGAAAATACGTCTAAATGTCAAAACGGGTTGTACCGTGTACATAGCCGACAAAAAGGATAAATGAAATATAAATGTAAGGCAAATATCTTGAAATAAATGTAGGATAACATTTCAACTTGGAAGGAAAATTTTGAGCTTGTTCGGGCAACGGCCAGACCCTGCGTTGGGCACTTATTCAACTCTTCGACGCTGCCATGGTCTAGGCTTCCTGTATATGAGCACAATTTCCGAATGATCAAATCACCCGATGAGAGCATCGGGGAGTAGAGATATCGATTGAGAGGCACGCGCGATCGAGACACCAACCGCTTGCGAGATGAAGCTCCTGATGGACATGGTCCCGGACTCTCGCTCCCCTCATTCGCCGCCATCCTCCAAATCATTTTCCTCTCCCCCCAACCGACATGTCATCTTGGATGGCGAAAAACTGGGTGGTGCATGGTCCAGGGTGAAATAGCCCACTTATCCCTCCAACGGGTTTAATTCACTTGGGCCTTCATCCTTTTTTCTTCTTCTGTTAACTACTCCTTCTTTTACTTGTTTACCATGACTAGGTGGTCAGATTTGTAGTGACTTGCATATGAGTAGAATATTTTTCCAAAACAACTGTTGTGAAGATCATATTGAGCTAAGGCTACTCTTGCCTAGTTATTCTGTTGGGAATAAGCCGCGGCGGTGCATCGAGCACGTTGGGCGCGTGTATGGGCACGTGCCGGACGAGCTGGACGCGCCGGGTCCGCGACGGGTGCGTGCATGTGTGCAGGGGCGGATCCAGGCTAGTACTGGGCCCCGGGCCTGCTTCATTGCTACAGTGTTTAACAGTGTCAAACAGTGCAAACAACACCACATTCAACAAAGGATTACATTCACACGCCCCGGGCCCAGGCCCCAGGGGCCTGGGCCCTGTCTCCGCCATTGCGTGTGTGCGTGCGTTGAGTGCATGGGCATGTCCGTGCGGGTGTGCGGGTGTGCGTGAATTTAGGGAGTAGCTGTTAGGCCGGGTCGCGTGGCACGATCGAGGGCGCGGTCGCTGGTGCTCGCCGTGGGGCGCGCGCTGCGGAGCGCGACGCGGGCACGAGCGGAGCAAGCGGAGCGCGAGCGATCGGGAGGGAGTGGAGGAGTGGGTTCGAGCCCGGTGCGCTGGCTCAAGTATAAAGTCGCGCGAGGGGGGCCTTGTAACAGCTGTGGGTTCAGCTCGAGTACGTGCTCGAGGGAAAAACTGAAAGCGTTCGTGCGCTGGTACACCACCGTGTCTTCCTTCTCCTCGTGTCTCCTTCTTCCTTGCTTCAGTTTGGTCCCCGGCGAGGTGACGCAGAAAGAGAGCTAGGGTAGAGGGAGAGCTAGGGCATAGCCACGGCGTCTGAGAGAGCGAGGAGGAGCAAGGCAAGGGACTGGCGGTTCCAACAATTGGCATCAGAGCCACGTGGAGGTGGGAGCTCGCCGGCGATGTCCATCGTGCCGTACGCCGGCGGATCGGGCGGTGCAGTGTCGCACCCAGCGCCCGTGCTCACGGGCGACAACTACACCACCTGGGCCATTAAGGTGGAGGCAGACCTTGATGCCGCAGGGGTGTGGGAGGCGGTGGTGCCGCCGGAGGACGCGGCGTCGGCGGTGATCGCCAAGAAAGACAAGCCGGCGAGGGCCTATCTACTCCGGGCGCCGATGACCTTCTGTTGCAGGTGGCTGCGAAGAGGACGGCAGCGGAGATATGGGCGAGCTTGAATGCCAGGTTTGTGGGCGCAGATCGTGTGCGCGCTGTGCGGTTCGGCACGCACCGGGAAGAATTTGAGCTCCTGCGCATGGCGGAGTCCGAGTCTCTGGACGCGTTCGCTGGGAGGCTCGGTGGCATGGCGGCGCGCTACGCGGCGCTGGGCTTAACCCTGGAGGATGCGGCGCTCGTCAAGAAGTTGCTTGACTCGGTGCGGAACCGCCTGTACGCGGCAGTGGCCGGGATCGAGCAATTCTGCAATGTTGGCACGATGCTGTTCGAGGATGCGTTGGGGCGGCTGAAGACTTTTGACGAGTGGCTGAAGCGATGCGATCAGGCACGCGGCGAGTGAGCTGATGGCGAGCTGCTGTACGGCGGCGCAATGGAGGGCGCCGGAGCGGCGCCACGGCGGAGCTCGGGACGACGACGGGGCGCGCAGCGAGGCGGCGGGCTTCGGCGGCAACAAGAAGGGCCGGTGCTACAAGTGCGGCGAGCGGGGTCACTTCAAACGTGACTGCCCGCAGTGGAAGAAGGCGCCGGCGCCGGAACGTGCACTGCTGGTCGACGGCGACGTCGAGGACGGCGGGCTGCTCTGAGCCGCGGCTTAGGGCGCGTGTGTTGGGAATAAGCCACGGCGGTGCATCGAGCACGTTAGGCGCGTGTGTGGGCACGTGCCGGACGAGCTGGACGCATCGGGTCCGCGGCGGGTGCGTGCGTGTGTGCGTGCGTTGAGTGCATGGGCATGTCCCTGTGGGTGTGCCGGTGTGCGTGAGTTTAAGGAGTAGCTGTTAGGCCGGGTCGCATGGCATGATCAAGGGCGTGGTCGCTGGTGCTCGCCGTGGGGCGCGCGTTGCAGAGCACGACGCGGGCATGAGCAGAGCAAGCGGAGCGCGAGCGATCGGGAGGGAGTGGAGGCGTGGGTTCGAGCCCGGTGCTCTGGCTCAAGTATAAAGTCACGCGAGGGCGGCCTTGTAACAGCTGTGGGTTCAGCTCGAGTACGTGCTCGAGGGAAAAACTAAAAGCGTTCGTGCGCTGGTACACCATCGTGTCTTCCTTCTCCTCGTGTCTCCTTCTTCCTTGCTTCAGTTTAGTCGCCGGCGAGGTGACACAGAAAGAGAGCTAGGGTAGAGGGAGAGCTAGGGCATAGCCACGGCGTCTGAGAGAGCGAGGAGGAGCAAGGCAAGGGACTGGCCGTTCCAACAATTGGCATCAGAGCCACGTGGAGGTGGGAGCTCGCCGGCGATGTCCATCGTGCCGTACGCCGGCGGATCGGGCGGTGCGGTGTCGCACCCAGCGCCCGTGCTCACAGGCGACAACTACACCACCTGGGCCATCAAGGTGGAGGCGGACCTTGATGCCGCAGGGCTGTGGGAGGCGGTGGTGCCGCCGGAGGACGCGGCGTCGGCGGTGATCGTCAAGAAAGACAAGCCGGCGAGGGCCTATCTGCTCCGGGCGCCGACGACCTTCTGTTGCAGGTGGCTGCGAAGAGGACGGCAGCGGAGATATGGGCGAGCTTGAAGGCCAGGTTTGTGGGCGCGGATCGTGTGCGCGCGGTGTGGCTCGGCACGCTCCGGGGAGAATTTGAGCTCCTGCGCATGGCGGAGTCTGAGTCTTTGGACGCGTTCGCTGGGAGGCTCGGTGGCATGGCGGCGTGCTACGCGGCGCTGGGCTTAACCCTGGAGGATGCGGCGCTCGTCAAGAAGTTGCTTGACTCGGTGCTGAACCGCCTGTATGCGGCGGTGGCCGGGATCGAGCAATTCTGCAACGTCGACACGATGCTGTTCGAGGATGCGTTGGGGCGGCTGAAGACTTTTGACGAGTGGCTGCGGCGACGCGATCAGGCACACGGCGAGTGAGCTGACGGCAAGCTGCTGTACGGCGGCACAATGGAGGGCGCGGGAGCGGCGCCACGGCGGAGCTCGGGACGACGACGAGGCGCGCAGCGAGGCGGCGGGCTTCGGCGGCAACAAGAAGGGCCGGTGCTACAAGTGCGGCGAGCGGGGTCACTTCAAACGTGACTGCCCGCAGTGGAAGAAGGCGCCGGCGCCGGAACATGCACAACTGGTCGACGGCGACGTCGAGGACGGCGGGCTGCTCTGAGCCGCGGCTTAGGGCGCGTGTGTTGGGAATAAGCCGCGGCGGTGCATCGAGCATGTTGGGCGCGTGTATGGGCACGCGCCGGACGAGCTGGACGCGTCGGGTCCGCGGCGGGTGCGTGCGTGTGTGCGTGCGTTGAGTGCATGGGCATGTCCGTGCGGGTGTGCGGGTGTGCGTGAGTTTAGGGAGTAGCTATTAGGCCGGGTCGCATGGCACGATCGAGGGCGTGGTCGCTGGTGCTCGCCGTGGGGCGCGCGCCGCAGAGCGCGACGCGGGCACGAGCGGAGCAAGCGGAGCGCTAGCGATCGGGAGGGAGTGGAGGCGTGGGTTCGAGCCCGGTGCGCTGGCTCAAGTATAAAGTCACGCGAGGGGGGCCTTGTAACAGCTGTGGGTTCAGCTCGAGTACGTGCTCGAGGGAAAAACTGAAAGCGTTCGTGCGCTGGTACACCACAGTGTCTTCCTTCTCCTCGTGTCTCCTTCTTCCTTGCTTCAGTTTGGTCGCCGGCGAGGTGACGCAAAAAGAGAGCTAGGGTAGAGGGAGAGCTAGGGCATAGCCACGGCGTCTGAGAGAGCGAGGAGGAGCGAGGCAAGGGACTGGCGGTTCCAACAATTGGCATCAGAGCCACGTGGAGGTGGGAGCTCGCCGGCGATGTCCATCGTGCCGTACGCCGGCGGATCGGGCGGTGCAGTGTCGCACCCAACGCCCGTGCTCACGGGCGACAACTACACCACCTGGGCCATCAAGGTGGAGGCGGACCTTGATGCCGCAGGGGTGTGGGAGGCGGTGGTGCCGCCGAAGGACGCGGCGTCGGCGGTTATCGCCAAGAAAGACAAGCCGGCGAGGGCCTATCTGCTTCGGGCGCCGATGACCTTGTGTTGCAGGTGGCTGCGAAGAGCAC